AGAGAGAGAGAGAGAGAGAGAGAGAGAGAGAGAGAGAGAGAGAGAGAGAGAAACAAGAAATCTGCCAAATTGTCCATATAGTTAAATATCCTTTTTTTCCCTTCTGTCCTTGCTTGTGGAAAGTGAAGAGAATTTGAAGCACTTACTAAACTTACTAGAGAAGCACAAAACCTATAGGCTTCAGTATAGATTACACTTTTTTTTTATACAATAAATAATTTATTAATTGCAAATACCTTTTCTGAGAAACAAAGTATAATGTCTATGAGGGAGTAGATACAACACAATGTACATGAATTAAACACAATGTATATGAATAATTCCATGCAAATCCATTAAAAATTGGGTATGATGGCAAAAAAGATGTGTGATATAAATGAATACCGGATACTCTTGATTTAGAAAGCCTGCAATTTCTCCTTTGGCTAGTACTTGATTAGAAGTGTATAGATTACACATTAACATCAAGAAAACAAAATTTCCACCAGATGCTCTGCTGGAGAAGGAGGAACAATCTCCTCCTGTATCAGTCAGATCTGATTTGACGGTACACACACAAATAATGAAATAAATTAAAAAAAAATAAAAGAAAATTGTCACAACTGGAGCAGTAAATAACATCATGCCAAATGGAGAGAATATGTTTCATATTAGTTGAGTCCAAGTCAATATCCGTGGAAGCAGCAGTCAAGAAATCAAAAGATGTATTATATCAGCCAACTTTGCTCTTCAGGGTCTATTTAAACCTAAAGAACAAGGATGTCAATGTAAAGATCAAGATATGCCTGACCCAAGCTACAGTATTTTCAGTTGCTTTACATGCATGTGAGAGTTGAACAATGAATAAGAAATACCAAAAAAAGAATTGATGCCTTTCACTCTTGTGTTGGAGAAGAGTATTGAATATCTGATGGACTTCCAAAAGAACAAACAAATCCATGTTGGAGGAACTGTAGCCAGGGTGTTCTTAGAGGCAAAGATAGTGAGATTTTATCTCACATATTCTGGGAAGGTTTTCAGGAGATGTCAGTCCCTGGGAAAGGACATCATGCTTAGATTAATGGTGGGTCAAAAAAAGAGAGGAAGAACTTCAACTAGATGGACCAAAACAGTGACTGCAACAATGGGCTTGTTGTTGGTAGGTGCCACAAAGTCAAGCATGACTCACAGCAACCCTAAGAACAAAAGATCTGAATCCTATTTTGTCCTGTGCCATCCTCACATTTTCCAACACACAAGAGCCCATTGCATCAGTCACTGTATCAGTCTACCTCATTGAGAGTCTTCCTCTCCTTTGCTGACCCTCCACTCTTCCCAGCAACATGTCCTTCTCCAAGGAGTAGCACCTCCTAGCAACACGTCCAAAGTCTGTGAGGCAAAGCCTCATCATTCCTGCCAGCTTCACCATCCCCAAGACATATCTATTCATTTTCTTGGCAGTCCATGGCATATTCAGTGCCTTTCTCCAACACCACAGCTCAAAGGCATCAATTCTTTTTCTCACATCCTTATTCATTGTCCTGGTCTTAGATGCATAGCTAGTAATTGGAAAGACTATGGCCTGAGTCAGACACACCTTAGTCCTCAAACTGACATCACTACTCCTTAATAAGTTGGAAAGGTCCCTAACTACAGATTTTCCCAGTGCAATGTGTCTCCTTATTTCCTGACTGCTAGTACCAAAGGAGTTAATTGTAGATCCAAGCAAGATGAATCTGTTGACAGTTTCAGCTTCCTCTCCATCCATCATGGCACTGCCTGTTGGTCCAGTGTTAAGAATCTTAGTTTTTTTGATATTGAGACGCAATCCATACTGAAGGCTGCACAGTGGAAATGTGGGGATGGCAAAGGATAGAGTAAGGTTTAGATCTATTGCATATAGTGTAGCTATGGTTAAAGGAAAACTGGACAGTGACCCCTCACTAATTTTTACAGCCTCAGAACCCCAAAGAAGGATAGCTATTAAGTCATAATCTACTCATCAACAGCAGTGGTTTTGCAAAGACTTTCTGCTTTTGTCCAAAGATTCATTCCCTGCACACCAGTTAACATGGCTTAAACTTACAGTAAAATCCAAAACATATAACTGTGAACACATAAATATGAAGGAAATAAATTTCTTTCCCTCTTTTTTAAATATTATCAGATAGCCTCTAGAAAGTTCCAAACCTGTATTACTTAATATTAATTCCAGTTTGCATATCTTTCTCAAAATGTAATATAAATTAAAATAATCACATGAACACTCTTTAAAGAATTTGTAAGATTATGATGCAGACTTACAAATAAGGTTATTTTCTCCTTGTAGAATAATTTTGTGAAAATACTTTTTATATTTTGAAATATATAGTACTAGTTTGGGGTTTTTAAAGGAAGTCAAAGCTAATAATTTTCTCTATGGCCCTTGGATATAAATAATGATTTCTTTTATACTTAGATCTTGTTGGTAAGATTGAGGGAGTTGATTACTAGATAATTGTTTATGAAAACAAGATTGAAGAAAAATTTAGTATAAAAAACACTATATAACCTAATTTTTACTAGAAAGCATTATTTTTCTATAAATTTCTAAAAATGTGCGTACTTATACATGGTATTATTCATACTGTTCTACCTTAAAGGTAATAAATGTTTATTATTTAGATATTATACCCATTTAAAAATGTTCTTTTCTAATTATAATTAAATGAAGTTTTAACTATAGTTATTTCAAATGTTAATTTTTGTTATTGATGACAAAATATCTAACTTGTTCCCCTCATATTTATATTTTAGGCTTTTTTCAAAGACCCAAATGTTATTGCCAATTTGCAGTTACTTTCAGATTCTCCTGGACAATGGATTACATTAGGTAAATAAAACGTATTTTTATTTTTTCAGATGCCTATTTTACTGTGAACATAAAATTTCACCTCAGGAATTTTTCTTTTTGTTTTGTTGTTATATGCTGTTAAATCACTTGCAGTTCATTGAGACCCTACCTATCCTGAGCCAACTCAATCCATCTCATCTAGGGTCATCTTCTTCTGCCTTGTCCCTCCACCCTACTTAGCATGATGTCCTTCCCCAAGGAGCAGCCTGGTTTCACCATCTCCAAGATAGACCTATTTGTTCTTTTGGCAGTAGGTTCAACACTCTTGTCCAGCATCACAACTCAAAGACATCAATTTGTCTTCTGTCATCCTTAGCCGTTGTCCAGCTCTCTGATGCAAGTAATTGCGAAGACCATGGCCTGTATCAGGTACACTTTAGTCTCCAGACTGGCATTGTTGTTCTTCAGTACTCTAGAGAAGTCCCTGACTTTCCCAATGCAGTTTGTCTTTTGATTTCCTGACTGCTGTGCCAAGAGTGTTGATTGTGGAACCAAGCAAGCTGTAATTATTAACAGTCTCACCTCTTCTCTATCTATCATTATGCTACTATTTGGCCTAGTGGTGAGAATCTTTGTTTTCTTAATGTTGAATTTCAACCCATATTGAAGACTACAGTCCTTGACCTGCAGCAAATGCCTCCTGTCTTCCTTAGTTTTGGTAAGCAAGGTTGTGTCATCTGCATAATGCAAGTTGTTGACGGATCTTCCTCCAATCCTGATGCCACATTCCTCCTCATAAAGTCCAACCTCCCGAATTATCTGTTCCACTTGTGATGTGCTGTCAAGTTGCCTGTGACTCAGAGCAACTCTGTACAACTCTGAACTGTGCTGTATCCTGAGCCAGCCTTATTGTCTCTGACACACCTACCTGCTTTACCCCAGTCACTGAGTCAATCTCATCAAGAGTCTTCCTTTCTTGCACTGTCCCTCTACCCTCACAAACATGATATCCTTCTCCAAGGACTATTCCCTCCTTGCAGCATGCCTAAAGTATGTCAGAAGAAGCTTCAGAATGCTTGCCTCCAGGGGGCAGCCTGACTTCACACTGTCCAGAATAAATCTGTTTTCTCTCCTGGCAGTCCATAGTCAATACTCTTCTCTAGCACTACAGCCCAAAGGCATCAAGTTGCCTAACAGCAGACTTTCCCAATGCAATTTGTCTCCCTTCTTCTCCAGCAGAGCATCTGGTGGATTTGAACCATGCGCCTTCAGGATTGTAGCATAGCTTCTTACCACTACACCACCGGAGTTCCCGCTTCCCAATTTTAAACCATGCAGTGTTTCCTTGCTCTGCTTCCAGGTCCAAGTATAGATTTCACCTGGCACAATCAAGTGTTCTGGAATTCCCGTTCTTCTCAGAGTTAGCCACAGTTTATTGTGATGCACACAGTTAGATGCCTTTGCATAGTCAATGAAATACAAATAGACATTCCTCTGGTTCTCCTTGTGTTCAGCCAAGATCCATCTAATATTAATTATAATATTGCTAGTACCACGGTCTCTTCTAAACCCAGCCTGTACATCTGGCATTTCTCTGTTTATGTGCTGTTATTAGTCATTTTTGGGTAATTTTCAGCAGAATCTTGCTTGCCTGTGATATTAATGATATTGTTCGATAATTTCTTTTTGTATTAAACTTTATTAATTTTAATGAACATTTACAGAGATTTG